ACGCCCCACTGACGCCCCGCGGGGCCAGCCCCGTGGCCCCCTCAACCCCGCCACCACCCTCTACCGACCCCCAAGTGACGAAGGCGCGCAAACAGGAGGAGGATGACAGCCTCAGCGACGCGGGGACCTACACCATCGAGACGGAGGCGCAGGACCAGGAGGTGGAGGAGGCCCGCAAGATGATTGACCAGGTGCCCGTTTAGTGGGGAGGCCTGGGCGCCTGGCTTTGGGCGTGCTGCTCTGACCCGCTGCCCCGCCGTTCCTCCTGGCAGGTCTTTGGGGTGCTCGAGGCCCCTGAGCTCTCCAGGGCATCCTCGGCCACCTTCCGCCCAGTCATCAGAGGAGACAGAGATGAGCCTGGTGACGGGGTGGCCCAGCGGATGGCCCTGCTGCAGGAGTTTGCCTCCCGCCCAGTGGGCGTGCCCCCGCAGGTGGAGCTTCAGGTGTGTGGGACAGAGCCCTGACGCCACCCTTGGGAGGGGCTGGGCAGGGAGGGGCCGGCATCTGGGCTGGGGCCCAGGTCACAGGGTGCCATATGCCCTCGAAGGCTCCGATCCTGGCTGAGCTGTGGGCTCCAGGCTACAGACACACAGGGCAGGACCTTCCAGAGGAGCGTGCCCACCTGGCAGGCAGGCTGGGGCCCTGTGCAGAGCTGTCAAGGACAGGCCTAGAGGCCCCAAGTCAATTGGGTGCCTGGGTGCGTGTGCCTATGGGCAGGGCTGGGCTGAGTCTGAGGGGCAGGACACAGCCACAGCCACTGACCTCCGAGCCACTGAACCGGCTGAGACGTGGGGAGTTGCGCAGGGTTCTGCAGGCTGCTTCTGCTGGGGGAGCAGGTGGCAGGCACAGGGATGGCCACCTTGCCACCTGCTCCCGCTCCCAGCACCTCCCCGTGGGGCTCCTGCCTCTCCTTGCTGCAGACACACCCCTGCCCTCTTCTCTGTAGGGCCTCCCGGTGCCAGGCTCCCCTGGGGGTCAGAAGTGGGTGTCTCGCTGGGCCAGCCTGGCTGACAGCTACTCGGACCCAGGCCTGTCAGGTAAGTGGCTCCAGCGCTGTAGTGGGGAGAGGGCAGCCTCTGGCCACTGACTGGACAGCTAGGAGCTCATGTCCCCGTACCTGGAGCAGGGCCAGCTCCCTGAGCAGGTGGAGGGCCTGGGGGTAGCGGCCGCTCTAACCCGCTCCCTTGTCTCCGCAGAGGATGGCCCTGGGCGCAGAGCTGGGGAGCTGGAGGGGGCCCTGCCTGTGCGCCAGCGGCGACTACTCCCGCAGCTGCCCAGCGACAGAGCGGACAGCCCCGCAGGCCCTGAGGCTGCCAGGAAGAGTGGGCCTGGGCCGCCGGAGCTAGGCAGCGAGCAGGCTGGTCTCCTCTTGGGGCAGGAGGACCTAGAGCCCGACAGCCTCAGTGATGCCAGTGGGTCGGACGGTGGGCGAGGCCCTGAGCCAAGTAGGGGCCCACAGGAGGGGCAGGCGTGGACGAGGGGCCGGCACTCACCAAGAGGCCCTGGGGAGCCAGCCCCCACCACTTTCTACATTGGGGACCAGAACGGGGAGGCAGCCTTGCCCAAGAAGCCACCTGTAGCCCCCAGGGAGGCGGAGGGCCCAGGGCGGGTGGCCCAGCCCAGCCCCCCAGCGAGGGACGGCATGTATGTCAGCACCAGCGGGAGGATGGTCATCCAGCTGCGGACAGAACGGTCCCCAGAGCCCGAGAGCTCCTGCCCGGCGCCCCCCAAGGAGGCCCTGGCCTTTGTCCGGCAAGACAGCTTCACCAAGGAGCCCGCCAGTGGCCCTGCAGCGCCCGGTCAGCTCCCGCACATCCCCAGCCACCCACTCCTGCAGGACCTGGCCGCAGCCCGGGCCTCGCGCGTGGACCTTCATTCCCAGGACACTCACCTGATTCTGAAGGAGACAGAGACGGCGCTGGCTGCCTTGGAGGCCCGACTGCTCTCCAAGTCCGTTGAGGGGCCAGAGGGCGAGATGGGCAGCGCCCCCCGGCCTCCTGAAGACTCTCTGTCTGGGGACTCTGATGTGGACACGTCCAGCACCGTCAGTCTGCTCAGTGGCAAGAACGGGCCCAGCCCAACCGGCCCCCAGCCCACAGGGCTGCGGAAGGAGAAGGCACCGTCCCCGTCAGCAGTGCAGGACCCGGGGACTGTCGCCTTGAGCAGCACCCATGAACGTCTCTCAGAGAAGCAGCGTCACCCACTGGGCCTGCCGGATGTGGGCCGTGGAGAGCCGACAAGGCGCCCGGTCGCGCGGCGCAGCCACGGGCCCCAGGGTTCCATGGACTGGCCTGAAGAAGAACAAGGCTCCAGCCTTGCCCACCTGCCCAGTGCAGACATGATCACCTCTGACCACGAGACCCCCACGGCCACTGGGACAGGGCGGCCAGGGCCTCGCCGGAAACCCATGGCCCCCCCGCCACCCCCTGCCGCTGCCCGGGAAGAGCAGCCCCGCGGCTCAGCCAGCGTCCAGAAGGGGCAGCAAGCGCTGACCCGCTCCAACAGCCTGTCCACCCCGCGGCCCACGCGGGCCTCCCGGCTGAGACGGGCCCGGCTGGGGGACGCCTCGGACACAGAGGCCGCAGACAGTGAGCGGGGGCCCCCGGCCAACCCGGAGCCAGTGGGGCGACCACCTCTCGAGCAGGCCAAGAGGCTGTCCCGCCTGGACATCCTGGCCATGCCCCGGAAGCGGGCCGGCTCCTTCACCAGCCCCGGCGACTCAGAGTCCACCCCAACCCGTGCTGGCTTCTCTGGCCGCAGCGTCGAGTTGTGCTGCGCCGGCCGCAAGCCCACCGTGGCCGAGGCTCGGGCCACTGCCAGGAAGGCCACCAACACTGCCGCGGTCTCCCGCCAGCCCTTCAGCAGGGCCCGCCCAGGCAGCGCCCGCTACTCCTCAGCCAGTGAGTGCCGGGAGGGGCAGGCAGCTCCCTGGGCGTCAACCTGGCTCTGGGCTGTGGGGCCCTGATCCCCTGGAGGAGCCCCCTTTCCCATCGGCGGGTGCGTCTCCACACACACGCGCACTCGGGTGTGCACGGCAGCGGGCCTCCCGCAGCCCCCCGGCCGTCCTGGTGTGAGGGCAGAACCCCAACCCTCCCCGGGATGAGGGTGCTGCCTCTCACTCCCAGGTGGGCCTGGGGGCTGTGGACGGATGGCTGGGTCTGCCCACTCTTACCTGGAGTTCCTGGTCCAGGTGGGACCCCAGTGGCTCGTGAGGCACACGTGGAGGCCCAAGCTGTCCCCCGTGGGGCTGGGGGCTTAGGGGCCTGGGGAGGGTGTGCTACCCTAGGCGGTGGTGGGTGTGTGAGTCTGGGAGGGCCCCCTGTGGCCGGGGGAGGCCTGTGGCAATCCCACCAGCACACCACAAGCAGAGGCTCCTGCAGCCCATGGTCCCAGCGTGCAGCGAGGAGGGACGGGCTGCTGTGGCCCCGGGGCCGGCTCCCACCGGGGGTGGATGTCCACGTCCACGCAGCCACGCTCGCCGTGCTGGGGGCTGAGCCTCCTAGAGAATTGGTTTGGAGGTGTCGGCCCTTCTCCCAGCTCCGTGCTGCGGCTCTTGTGCTTGCCCGATACCGGACCCTGCCTACGCTGCGGCTGGGCCTCCTCCCAGACTCACAGCCACAGAGTTAGGGCCCCTCCCTGGCTGCCGGGTCTGCCGGGGGCCAAGGTGGCGTCTGCTCCGTGGCCGGGGGCTGAGGAGTGCTGAGGGACAGGGTTCACTGGAGGAAGGGACGGAGTAGGGACAGGATGGCTTTGGGCTGAGGACCACATCTGCTTGGTGGGAGCCCTGCCGCCCCCCGCCAGTGCTCCTTGTCACCCTGAGCATGTTCGCAGCTGTGGTGGGGGTGGGGGCTCTGAGCAGGGGTGGGCTAGGGGTCAGGTCTGAGAAGACCAGGTGGGCACAGGGAGGGGCTGCAGGGACTGAGCCCTGTGTGGTCCAGCCCGGGGCCACGGCCACTGCACGTGGGGAGGTTTACCGCCGTCTAGGGTGTCTGGGCACCGCAGCCCTGCCACCAAGGGTGCCGGTTCTCACCTGACGGGCACAGACCCACCCCCAGGACATGGCCCCTGCCCGCTGGCTGGCCAGCTGCCCCCTGGGCTGCTCCGCAAGGGCCTGCGGACGCGCCAGGCTGCCCATCCCTGCTTGCGCCTCCGGGCTGGCGGCGGCCTTGCCGGCCCTGGACCCCAGCAGCGGCTCGCGCTTCAGCTGAAGGGCTTCTGCGTGTAGGGTACCAGCTGCAACGCAGCTTGTCCTGCGGTGCCAGGCCCTTACCCAGAGGGGCCCGGGCTGCCTCGCGGTGCTGAGTGCTGCTCTGTTCTGTTCTTGCTTTTGGAACCAATTCACTCACCCGAGACACGCGTCGCCGGCAGCAGGGTTCAGATTGCACGTCCACATCTGAGGAGGAGTACGGCTCCCACCACGGCTCCCCCAAACACACACGCTCCCATGCCTCAACAGCCACGCAGACCCCACGGGCTAGCGGCTCCGGCCGGGCCCGCCCCCGGGCCCCTGGCCACCGGGACACGGACGAGGAGGAGGAGGACCCCTGCGGTTTCCTTGTGCAGACATCTGACATCGCTGAGATCGCCAGGTGAGCAGTGCCGGCACACAGCATGAGCTGTTGCCCCCCAGGTGCCTCTCCTTGGGACCATCCTGGGCTTTACTTCCTGAGTGGGCATGGGAAGGGCTTGTCAGATGGAAGGGTACACGAGTGAGTGGATGATGGATAGAGGGATGGGGGATGTTTGGAAGGATGGAGGAATGATGGACGAGTAGGCGGATGGATGATGGATGGATGGTTGGATGGGTGGCTGAGTGGCTGGATGCGTGGATGCAGATCTGTCCAGGAGGAGGGGGAACCTTTGGTTCAAGGAAGACCTTCACTAAAATTTTTATTAAAAACGAGTTTCTTCATGTAGCCGTTCAGTGGAAGGCTCGCCCCTAAGCCAGGTGCTGAGAAGAAGGGTGCAGAGGGGGCAGGGGATGAAGCATGGTCCTTCACTGAGCGGAGGTCAGGGCCCTGGGGGCTGGGCCCTGCAGGGCTGTGGGAGCGGGAGGGGAATGGCTGGAGCTGGAGTCGGTGAGGCACCTGGAGGGGAGGCAGGTGGACCAGAGGCTGCTGGCGAGACAAGAGCCCACGTGGGGGGAGGAGGCACGGGCGTCATCAGCACAAAGATGCTGACGGGGCTGTGGGTGGCGTGAGGCTGTGCGGAGAGGCCCAGGAGAGTATGAAGCGAAGAGGGCCAGAGACTGAGATGCCTGCGGGGCAGAGGGTGGGGGGTCATCTGTGCAGGTGGTGCTGGGGAGGGGTGGCGGGGCTCCCGGGGTGGGGATCTGGAAGGAGGCATGGCACTTGGGCCAGGTGAGCAGGGCACAGCTGGGAGGGCCCTGTGGGCTTCCCAAGGTCTCTGCTTTCAGGGTGGGTGCCGGTTCAGAGGCCTGGGTGGGCAGGGGACCGGCCCTGAGGCAGGGGCACAGGTCACCAGGACCCTGGGGAGCAGCCTTTGTATTTTTTTGACTGGTTGGGGGCCCTTTTCTGGAGGCGCCTCGGGCAGGCTGCTGGGGAGGCAGGGGCGCCCAGGGGAGTTGTCTCCAGCAGTGTTTAGTGTCTGTTGGGCGGGGCAGAGCTTGGTGGTCGTGCTGGAGTTGCCACTCAGAGTGGATGGGCCCTGAGGGCCAGCTGTGGAGGGACCCCGAGTAGAGCTAGGACAGTTGGTTGAGGGTGGGGCATCCCTTGGGTGACTGCAGGCATTGAAGTGCTGAGAGGGCCGGGGGCCAGAGCCTGTTCCCCCTGGGAGAGATGGACCCCTCTCCCCCAAGCCTGGCCAGGGGCTCACGTGGTGCAGAACGTGCTGGCTGTGGGCCTGAGGTGCTCAGAGGGCGAGCGACGGAGGCTGTGGGCTGCAGCCCAGGGAGCCTCTCAGGGAAGCATGTGTGGCCTGTGGCCCTTGTGGTGGAGAGGGTCTACCCTGGCACTGGAGGCTGGGCCTCCCTGCCCTGTGGGGGGGTCCCTGGCCTCTCTGGGGCTGCATGACTCTGCCCCTTGTCAGGGACCCTGCCCCACCCTTCAATTCCCCACCCATGGAGCAGGGTTTGTGTGGCTCTGCCTGTTCTGTGACAGCCCTGATGTCAGTCCTGGTGGCCAGAGGAGGTACGGCCGGGAGCCAGAGGGTGACTGTCCACCCTTCCTCCCAAGGCCCTGCCCCAGCCCCACCCCCACCCTCGGGGTCGGGAACTTGAGGCTCCAAGTGGGGCCCTGTCCTTCCTGGAATTGCCAGTGGCTGGAGGGGTGTAGTTTGGGTCAGGCTGGAGGCTGTACCCCCCGGCCCTGCCCCTCACCCAGTGGCTGCCCCCGGGAGGGACTCCCACCTAGGGTGGGATTTCTGCTTGTGCAGGGTAACTCACGTCCCATCTGGCTCCTGTCCCCAACGTCTCCCACACTGGGGCCCACCCAGCCTAGGGCAACCACACAGGATCTGCCTTGTCTCCCGCTGGCTGCAGGCTGAGTCAGACACTGGTGAAGGACGTGGCCATCCTGGCCCGGGAGATCCACGACGTGGCGGGGGATGGGGACTCGCTGGGCTCCCCGGGGTCTTCCCGCAGCCTCTCCATCAACAATGTGCCCAGCACCCCTGCCTCCACCATCTCTGCCCGCGAGGAGGTGAGCCCCCCTGCCCCACCTCGGGGGTGTTGGTGAGGGGTCATGGCTGTGAGCCCTCACTGAGTTCCCGCCATGCACCTGCGCGCAGCTCCCCAACAGCCACCCTGCGTCAGGGACCTGCGTCCATTGTTGGAGGGCGCCCGGGGACCCATAGCTGATGGGGCTTGGGTCAACCCTGTCCACCTTCTGTGCCAGACACCCCATCCCTGGGCTGACGCTGCCCCTGCTCCCCATTTCCGCAGCTGGTTCAGCGCATCCCCGAGGCCAGCCTCAACTTCCAGAAGGTGCCGCCTGGCTCCCTGAGCTCTCGAGACCTGGACCAGAACATGAATGACCGCTTTGAGGACCCCCTGGCCAACAGGACGCGGCCTCGGAACCGTGAGGAGGCAGGCAACCCCCCACCCCTGCCCGCGGGAGCTGGCCAGTGGCTGGCTCTCTGTGCGGAGGGAGCAGGGCTTTCTAGGGGTTCTGGGCACCACGCTGATGCATGGGTCTCTGCAGGTGATCTTTGATAACCTGATGCTGAACCCCGTGTCCCAGCTGTCCCACGCCATCCGTGAGAACACAGAGCACCTTGCCGAGAAGATGAAGTGAGTGGGCCCTGCTGGCCAGTGGGAGCCCCTCTGGAAGGGGCTGGGAGCCACACAGCGAGATGCCCTGACGTGGGTAGAAACCCGAGCATGTGAACTGGGACTGTGCCCCACGTCCCCACACACACATACTTGGTTTGGCAACCGGACCCTGAGTCTGGGGAGACTAGAGCCCCAGGGTGCTCCCCTCCCTCCCTCTCTGCTCCCCTCTTCCTCTCAGCCCTCCCTGTGTAGAGCACAGAGACAGGGACCCTGGTACCAGGCCTGTTTCCCCTTGGGCCCAGGAAGTGGTGGCTAGGGGGGTGGTCTGGGCAGGGCCGTGCCTGGGTTCCTGGGTCATCATCCCCTGCCCGCTCCCTCCCCCAACCCCTGGGGGATAGGATCCTCTTCCAGAACACTGGGCGTGCGTGGGAGGACCTGGAAGCCAGGATCAATGCTGAGAATGAGGTGCCCATCCTGAAGACGTCCAACAAGGTGAGGGCTGGCGGGGGCCATGCCCGCCTCCTGGGCCCTACCTCTGGGGCCCCGTCGCCCAGGCCCTCCTGGGGAGAAGCTGACCTGAGCCTGACCCGACTCCTGCCCCCAGAGCCCTGGGGGAGAGGTGAGTGCCTTGGTCCTGCTCCACCTGCCTTCTTCCTTTCCTCTTCCAGGAAATCAGCTCCATCCTCAAAGAACTGAGACGAGTGCAGAAGCAGCTGGAAGGTGGGTGTGGCCCAGGCCTTGTGGATGGTGGGCAGCGCTGGTGCTTCTGGTCCCAGATAGGCGGTGGGAGGGACCTCGGTGAACCCTGACTCACACCTGTAGTGAACTGGCCGGGAGGCTCCCAGGTGGCCAGGGGAGGCAGGGCAGGAGCCCCGCCAGCCTGACCCTCTCCCCTCCCCTAGTCATCAACGCCATCGTGGACCCCAGCGGGAACCTGGACCTGCTGACTGGAAACAGGGGCCCTGTGGGTGCAGCCCAGCTCGGGAAGGGCCGGCCAGCTGCCCAGAGCCCATCCTCACCCGCCTCGGCCCTGCCTCTGAGGAGCTTCTCGCAGCAGCGGGCAAACTGTGGGTCCCCCAGCCTCCCAGACCCCTCCTTCCTCCCTGACTTCCTCCCCGACGCGGAAAGGTTCCTGATCTAGGGGGCGGGGGCTGGGGCAGCCTCCCTGTGCCCAGGTCTGGTGCCTCCCGTCTACACCGTCCACTGCTGCAGCCCCTCTGGGCTGCAGACAGCTCACCACAAAGACCCCTACACGTGCCATAACCCTGTGGGTGCCGGGGCCCCAGCCAGGTTGTCCAGCCCACACCCCTGCTGGCCTCTGGGCCCAGCTCCTGCTGTGGCCGATGCCAAGGGCCAGCATCGCGGGTGAGTGCCCTGTCCCCTCTCCATCACTATCATTTTTGTCTTAAGCTTTCGAGGGAAGAGTGGTTTGTGCCATTGCAGCAGCCTCCCGGGCCCCAAAGGGCCTTGCCCTGCCTCGTAGGCTGGGGGACACATGCTCACTGGCCTGTCCCTTTGTGCTGGCCAGGACCAGGCAGAGGGAGAAGGGTTGGGCAGTGGGGGTCAGTCAGTGCCAAACACAGAGCTGGGGGCCCGGTGACACTCCAGGACTCAAGGAGGGCAGAGTGCAGGCTGGCCGGGGCGCTCCCAGCCACCCCAGAGTCCAGTGGCCTGGGTCAGGGAAGTGGCCTGGGAGACATCTGGGGCAGGAACCCCACCGCTTTGAGCCTTTGGTGCCAATACAACTGCCAAACTCCCTGAGCACGTGACCGGGCGGCTGTGCACACACGCACACGCCATGCTAATGTGCAGGCACAGCTCCACATGCAGGCACATCCAGTGCAGGAGTCGCAGCCTCTGCACCTGGCTCCCGGGGGTTCTGGCCAGGTGGAGGTGAGCGACAGACCAAAGTGGCCTGGAACCAGGCTTCCAGAAGCTCCTGGCAAACAGCCCCCCCAACCTCCCCCCGTCCTCTGGATGCTGTGGGCATTAGTTGGGTGTCTCACAGGCCCCTGTGCTCCTGGTCCCCTGGAGGGGTGGGCAGGGACAGGCCCCCAGGAACAGTTTATTTTCTCAGGATTTTTTCAGCTGGGAATGTGCCAGGCAAGCAGAGTGCACCACCCCACGGCGGATGTTTCTGGAGCCTCTAAGCCAAAGAGCCCATTGGCTGTGGTGTGTGTGTGTGTGGCTGCCCCCACCACCACCCTGGGGTGGGGGGACCCCGCCTGGCATCTGCGTGAGTGTCGATTGCTGGAGGAGGTCGCCGAGGCTGGGCCGGGGGCTGTGGTGGGTGATGGGGGTGTCCGTGTTCACATGTAGCTGGTGTGGTGTTGAGTGCAGGGGTCCTGTGCCCCCCATGTTCATGTGTGTGAGTGGCAGTGGGGTCCCCACCTGGCTCCACCCACAAGCCTCAGTGTCCACACGGAGGAGGTGCTAGGCCTGGCCCCCCTCCGCCCCGCACGCCCCGCACAGCTGCCCACAGCCCGTCCCTGGGAGACAAGCAGTGGCCGTCCGTCCACCTCCATCCACACCCCGCAGGGATGGCTGTACAATTTTTTTAATTCACCAGTCTGCGCACCCCCCGCCTTCGCTTTGGGATTGGTAACTTATTTGTCTGGCTTCTGGGAGGCACCTTTGTGTTTGTCCTCAGGCGGTCTTACGGATGTCTTTCAGAAAATGGTTATTTTATATGATTTGTCATGGAATTTGTTCTAATAAATCATTCTTCTGTCATGTGGCAGCATGCCAGCGTCTGTCGCCTTGGCCTCATTTCTCCACTGGGGGTGTTTGGGATGGGGAGGGCCCCCCTCGCCACCCCACAATGCTTAGTCCCGGGGGTCTCCCATCCTGGGCTGGAAAGTCCGCTTTGACCCCCACCAAGAGCAGGGTGCTGCAATGCACATACATTGCCACCAGGTGGCGACCTAGATAAGAAAGCAAAGCAGGGAGATTTCTGGCCGTCTACTCCCCAAAAAAGGGAAGTTATTTTAGTCAAGCCATTCAGGGATGCAGCATCCAAGCGCACTCTTGTAAGTAGGCCATGCTGTGTAGACACCACACAGGAGGGGTACAGGCACTCTTACCTCCCTGTTCATGGCTTTAGAGGGGTCTCTGACCTTACCCTGGTCTCTGACCATCACTCTGAGGTGATGCTCCCCCCACTCCTGCTCCAGGGAGGATCCAGGGGCACAGTGGACAAGGCAGGCCGGAGCCAGTGTCCAGCATACTGGCAGCCCATGAGGCCGGCCACCACCAGAGCCTGCTCACCAGGTCCCTCAACCAGCCGCACAGGAGTCAGGTGTATCGCAGCAGTTCCCCCTCAGAGCTCTGCTCCCCACAGCTCTGTTCCTGCACATCCTGTGAGTGCCACACCAAGTCATTAATCTCACAGGTGATTAAGTTTATGTGCTTGTTTATTTTAGTGGCGGCACCGGGGCTTGAACCCAGGACCTTGTGCGTGCTAAGCACACACTCTACCCCTGAGCTCTCCCCTCCCCCTTCTTCTGGCTGTTCTCGACTGTCTCTTGGCTATTCGTTTTCCGGTGGTTTTCCTGCTGTGCCCAGCAGTGTGCCTGTACTTACCTGTGTGGGGGTCTGTAACGCGTGAAGTGGTGTCATAGGCCTGTCTTCGGTGTGGGGAAGCCTCACCCAGTTCTCTGCAGGTGCTGGCCTGCCCGTTTCCCACCGTCCCTTGGTGGGCGGCGTTCACGCACGTGCCAGGCCTGTCTCGTGCTCTGTCTGCGTGTTCCAGACAGTTCCTCTCGGTGTTTCTGTCTCCTTCTCTACTGACCTCAGCTGCGGCTGACTGGTCCTTTTCACTCCCATCCAGTTGTCCACTGGCTCATCGGCTGTGCTCTTTACTTGGGTTATTTTTGGTTTTACTTCTAGAATTTCTATTTGACTTTAAAGAATTCATTTCTCTAAGCGAAAATGACTGGCTTGTGACTTACTGTTCTGAACAGAGGAGTCGCGGTTATTCCAAAGCTTGTGTCTGGTCGCTCCACTGCCTGGAGCCCCTGCTTTACCTCTGGGTTCTGTTTCTCGGTGTGCCTGGTGACTCTTGATTTCAGATGACAGGCGCTGGGTGACAAACAGCGAATCTCTGGACAATGTCCTGTTTCATCACAGAGATCACCCGTCCTCCGCCTTAGGGGCCGAGCAGGTGCGGAGCTGATCTGACATGAAGGGAGGCCCTGCGGCCTCTTGTTTGCCTGCGGTCCTGGGGCTCCGCCCTCCTGGGGTCCCGGCAGAGTCAGGTGAGCCCACCTGCACTCCCCTCCTTTGCTGGCGGCCCTGGGGGAGGGCCCAGCTCAGTGGGAGAGCACATGCTTAGCGTGCGTGAGGTCCTCGGTTCAATTTCCAGTCCCTCTATTAAATAAACAGGTAGATAAGTAAACCTAATTACCCCCTCAAAAAATAAAATAAAATAAATAAAAACAAGACAGAAGCCTTGGGGAAAATATGTTAAAAAAAAAAAAAAAGGAAGAGCCCCTGAACTTCATTCTGTGTCCCCAGATCCGTAACACTACTGAGCTGTGTTCAGCTTTTCAGCCGCCCTACGCTCAGCCTCCCAACCTGGAGCAGCACAAGAGTCGGCAAGTGCCTCAAAAGGGAAACCAGCCTGGACTGTCTGGCTCTCCTCGGCTCCCCTTTCTCTTGGGAATCTAGACCCCTCCAGCTCTGGTGGCCCCGGCAGGCCTGAGCGCCAGACTCTCCCTCCGGCTCTGTGACTCTGCCAGACCCATCCTGCTTCTCTGCCACACTCCACCCAGCTTCCCGGCCTCCCACCCCTGCTGCTTCCTCTCTTACCAGCTGGAACCCCTGGAATGGGCAGCTAAAAGGAAAATCAAAATTAAGCACAAAGCTGAGATAACAAGAAAGAGAGGGAATCCCCCACGTGCCAGAAATTAAGTTGGGGTGAAAGCCAGCGTGGGTACCGCAGCACCTCGGTGGGGGGTCATGGGCCTGAAATACCCTGACTGGCCACGCACCTGGTGGTTTCTATCCACGTGGTCGGAAGATAAGGGCTTGTGCTGGCGAGAGGAGAATTCACATCAAGAATCCTGTTCAGGGGGTGGGGGGTAGAGCTCAGTGGCAGAGCGCATGCTTAGCATGCACGAGGTCCTGGGTTCAATCCCCAGTCCCTCCATATAAAAAATTAATTAATTAATTAATTTAAAAAAGAAAGATGAAAGGAAGTTACACAAAATGCAACACATAGGAACATGGCAGTAGAAAACAGAAGAGTTACTGGGCAGAGAGGATTGAGCGACAAAGTGTAACATCTGTCTGTTCAGAGCTCCCGAATGGGAAGAGGAAATAGTCGCAGAGAAAATGAGTAGGAATTTCCCAGAATTGGCTATATGTGAGCAATTCATATGCTGTAGGTTGAATTGTTCTCAAGTCCACACACCCAGCACCTGTGAAGGTGACCTCATTTGGAAACGGGGTCTTCATAGATGATGGAATTAGCACGAGGTCATTCTGATGGACCCTGATCCAAGGTGACTAGTGTCTTTGGAGAAAGAGGGAAAATCGGGTGCAGAGACACACGTGCACAGAGGGCAGATGACACGAAGACACAGGGAGGACACCACCTACAGGCCGAGGAACACCCAGGGCCACCGGAAGCCAGGAGAGAGATGTGGGGCAGATTCTCCCTCACGGCCCTCAGAGTGGACCGACCCTGCCCACACCGCGGTTTAGATCTCCTGGGCTCCAGACTGTGAGACAAGAGCTCTCTGTTGTTCAAGGTGCCCAGTTTGCGGCACCTGCGGCAGCAGCCCCAGCAGACCAGGCCCACGCACAGCTACTGGAGCGCGACGCACGCCTAGTGGCACTGCAGGAAGCCACTGGCCAGGAGGAAGTGCACAGCGCAGCCAGAGTGAAGGGCTCCTTGCCGTTCTCCCAGCAGCAGCGGAACCTTTAGACCCTGGGTTGCCAAAGAAAGTGCCTGTCCGTCAGGAATTCTGCGCCTCAAAGTTTATCTTTCAGCAATGAAGGAGGATGGAGACATTTTCATGTTACTAAACACAGAGTGTTTGCCAGCACTCTCCCACTCACAGAGAACAATTGGCAACCAAGACTTTCACACCCAGCTAAGTGATCGTTCAAGTCCTTTCTACAGGACGTGTTTCGGGAAGAAGGATGAAGCTCTCAGAGGGAGGCTCTGAGATAAAGGGGTGGTGCACAGACAAACTGGCAACACGGAGTAAATTTAAACACACTCTGACTGGAAAAAATAATTATAAGATGCATAATTTATGCAGTTTTAAAATAGTAATAATAGCACTACGAGATGGAGCGAAAGTAACTGACAGGAGGATGCGAAGCGGAGCTCAGTGGAGCTGAAGTCTTCAAAGGGCCTCCCACTGTTCAGGAAGAGGGGAGGTGTTCATTAGGGTTATGTCTGCGAGGCAACACTTGGAAGGTAAGCTACCTAATGTGGACACCCACCACTTCCAAATGCCAGCGAATCGACACAACAGAAGAATACTCATTGCTGGTATGAAGTCTACTATGGGTCTGAGTGGCTTGTGAGGAAAGAGTCCTTTAGGTGGCGAGTTAAGGACCCAGGAATTTCCCATCCGGGACTGCATTGTCGGAGCCCAGAGCGGGGATGATGGTGTTCTTTATACCCAAAATTCAAGGCTTCGGAAGAGAAGTGACATGAGCCCTGTCACTCACAGCACATCAGGCAGAAGCTGGCCCACCGGCTGGCAAAGGAGAAGACTCGTCCCCCGTGTCTGAGTGGTCTGGGCGAGTGCTAGGAGCTCACATCCCAAAGCAGCATCACCAAAGCAGAAAATTAGGGGAGTAGGGGAAAATGGAATAAGAAAAAAAAATCCATTGGAAGCAAGACAAGAAAAAGAGACAGAAAAGCAACACCCAGTGTGAGCCAAACAGCACAGCGTAAGGTATGAAATGAAAACACGTCAGTAATCACAATAAATGTAAGTGGACGAAGTTCAGATGAAGTGGGCAGAGATGATCAGACTGCATGATTTTTAAAAATTCTAATTCGATGTTACTTGTGAGACTTAAACTTGAAACATAAGAACACACAATTTAAAGTAAAAGGCTGTTTTTTAAGAGCCAGGTAAATGTTAATCAAGAGAAAGCTGGCATACCTAAATCAGCAGCAGACAAAATAGATTTTAAGGCAAAAACCATTATTTGGGAAAGAGAGAGCCATTTTATAATGATACGTAGTTTAGGCCAGAGGATGTAAAGAGACTGAATGTGTATACACATCTAAAAAGTAACCTTAACTGTAAAAATTGCCAGGACTACAAGTAGAAATTTATTTATGTTTCTTTTCTTTTTCAGACTGAAGTCTGTTCACAATGTGTCAATACCTGGTGTGCAGCACGATGTTTCAGTACATGTACATAGATTCATTTTCATATTCTTTTCCATTATAGGTTACTGCAAGATAGCGAATGTAGTTCCCTGTGCTGTACAGAAGAAACTTGTTGTTTACAAGTAGAAATTTATAAAGGTACTGTCATAAAAGATTTCAACACCTATCTCTCAGCAATTCCTAGCACATTTACAAAAACCGAGCCTACACTTGAATGTAAAGCAAGTCTTAACAAATATTAAAAGTCCAGTACCTCATGGACCTTGCTCCCTAAACCAAGTGCGAGTAACCTGTAAGTCAGTAGCTGAGAAAGAGCTCTACAGCACACTTGGACATCTTGAACCAGATTTCTAAATCATCCGTGGGTGAAAAAAAAGCAGCTTAAA